AAAAGCAGACATTCCTGAAGCTGTGTGTCTGGCTCGCACCTGCGCTCCAGAGACATACCACCCAGCTGCGGCCCGCCATCCCTGTGAACAAGAGGGTCGACATCGCCCTATGGAAGCTGGCCACTCCGGACAGCTACCACTTGGTGGCAAACCAGTTCGGTGTGGGCAGGTCCACAGTCCGTGCTGTGTTGATGCAGGTAAGTCCTGCGGGGGGGCGTGTGCTGCACTCCCTGCCCAGGGGAAGGGAAGACTCCAGGCTGGGAAGGGGGGTTGGGGAAGTGGGGGAAGTCCCGTCACCAAGGGGCTTATACCATCCCTCCCTCACACAGGCCTGCTGGTATGGGAGGGGCTCTGGGGTAAGGGAGACCTGGTGTGTTTGGGGGCAGAGGGCATCACAGGAAGGCAGGCACCCCCCAAGGGCTCATGCCCTGCCTCATTCAGTGCATTCCCTGTGTTTCTGTGTGCCCTTCTGCAGGTTGTCCGTGCCATCAATGACATCCTGCTCCAGAGGGTCATCTGCCTGCATGACATGGATGCAACGGTGGCTGGCTTCGCTGCCCTGGAGTTCCCCAACTGCGGGGGAGCCATGGATGGGACCCACATCTCCATCCGTGCCCTGGAACGTCAAGCAGCCCATTTCATAAACCAAAAGGGGTACTTCTTCGTTGTGCTCCAGGTCCTCATGGACCACCATGGTCGCTTCACAGACATTTATATGGGGTGGTCCGGCAAGGCACACGACACCCACATCCTCCATAATTCCAGCCTATATCGCAGGATGGAGTTGGGCACTTTCTTCCCCCAGCGGGAATTTACAGTTGGGGACATCCACATGCCTCTCTGCATTGTGGGGAACGCGGCCTACCCCATCATGCCCTGGTTGATGCGGCCATACACCGGATGGACGGACCCCAGCCGGGAATGTTTCAATCAGCACCTGAACCGAGGTCGCAACCAGGTGGAGCGTGCCTTTGGATGACTGAAGGCGCGCTTCCATTGTCTGCTCACCCATCTCGAAATGGGTGAGCAGAACATTGCTGAGGTTGTGGGAGTGTGTAGTGTGCTCCACAACACAGTGGAGCAGAAGGGGGAGGCCTTCCTCCCGGCGTGGATAGCAGCTGAGGGCCAGGTGTTTGAGCAGCCCTCCACAGCTGCCATCCACCAAGCGAACCATGATGGGGTGCGCTTCTGGGAGGCCCTGAAGGACATGTTCTCCCAGGCCCCACAGTGGGGTCGCTTCTGTCTCCCGTATACATCTTCCTCTCATCTCCAACCCTTCCCTCCCCACATTCCCTCACCTCCCAATAAACAAAACCATTTTTTGCTCAAACAAGAGGAAACTTTTATTTTTATTTTCAATGGGGAAGAAGGGTGAGCAGTGGGAGGAGGCTCTGAACTGGGAGGTGGAAGAGGAAGGGGCTATGAACTGGGAGGGGGAGCTATTGCTGGGAGAGGCAGCTCCTGCCAGTGCCTCTGTGGGTGTGGAGGCCTTCGCATCCTTCAGGCCAGGTTGAGGCAGGCAGCACAGGGATGAGGGCAGGACTGGGTGCAGTGGGGAGGGCACGGTAATGGTAGCAGGAGGGGTGCCTGGAAGGGGCGTGGGCACAGCAGGGAGGGCAGGAGGATGCGGCAAGGCCATGCTGAAGTACATGGCATGACTGATGTGCGATGTCAGGGTGGTAATCACGTCGCACATCCGGCTGCACCTCTGCAGGAACTGCCTCACACCTGCTGCTGCCACTCCAGGTCAGCCTCAATCTTTCTGCTGACTGCCTTCTCGATCCTTTCAACAGCCTGGACGTGCTGCCAAAGGAGCTGGTCCTGCTGCCTGGCCCGCTGGACTGGTGCCTGGGTGGTTGGTGGTGCTGCCGCCACAGGGCTGGAGGGTCCCTTGCTCCTGGATAGTCCTGCTGCAGAAAACACAGAAAACGATGAAGCGGTGAGGCAGCCCTGCCCACACTGTCCCTGAGCCCCATGCCCTCCACCCTGAGCCCCAAGTGACACCACACAACTGTGGCTTGGGCCCAATCAGTCCCCTGTGTGTATGTTCGCATAAAGGACTCCCTGGAATAAAGTGATTCTCTCCATGGACTGTAACCTTTGGAAGACATCACTGTGAATAAAGACCCCTTGTCTGTGTCCTGGCCACTTGGCATGTGGTGTGTCAACCTGTGGAACTCCTTGCCAGGGGAGGCTGTGAATGCTAGGACTATAAGGGTATGTCTACACTACCCCGCTAGTTCGAACTAGCGGGGTAATGTAGGCATACCGCAATTGCAAATGAAGCCCGGGATTTGAATTTCCCGGGCTTCATTTGCATAAGCGGGACGCCGCCATTTTTAAATCCCCGCTCGTTCGAACCCCGTGCTGCATGGCTACACGCAGCACGAACTAGGTAGTTCGAACTAGGCTTCCTAGTCTGAACTACCGTTCCTCCTCGTGGAATGAGGAGTAACGGTAGTTCGAACTAGGAAGCCTAGTTCGAACTACCTAGTTCGTGCCGCGTGTAGCCGCGCGGCACGGGGTTCGAACGAGCGGGGATTTAAAAATGGCGGCGCTCCCGCTTATGCAAATGAAGCCCGGGAAATTCAAATCCTGGGCTTCATTTGCAATTGCGGTATGCCTACATTACCCCGCTAGTTCTAACTAGCGGGGTAGTGTAGACATACCCTAACAGAGTTCAAAAAAGAGCTTGATAAATTCATGGAGGTGAGGTCCAGAACAGGCTATTAGCTATGGGGTAAGGAATGGTGTCCCTGGCCTCTGTTTGTCAAAGGCCAGAGATGGATGGCAGGAGACAAATCACTTAATCATTGTCTTCGGTCCATCCCCTCTGCGGCACCTGGCACTGGCCCCTGTCGGCAGACAGGATACTGGGCTAGATGGACCTTTGGTCTGACCCAGTATGGCCATTCTAATGTTCTTATGGTCTTATGTGTGTCTGCGTTGCACTGTCCCTAAGGTAAAGCACATGGCTTCAACTCTTGTCACTGTCTGTGAGCAACACAACATTGATACTGTAGTCATGTTTGCGTGCACATCCCCACATTGCTTGGGAGCAAGTGTGGCAGACAGGGTCTGGGTTCTCAGACCACAGTCAACTGATGTCCTTGGAGACGGAGCCAGGGTGACTGGGGAGTGTACCGTCCATGCAGCAAAACTCAAGTGGCCATAGGCCCAGGCTGACCTCTTCCCCGCTCCCCCTCCCACTAGCCCTCACACAAGTAGCCCAGGGAATTGTATGGCTGCAGTGAGGGGTTTCCCTCCTGGGCAACTGTGGCGGGGGAGCCCCGCCCCTCCCGGAAACTGCCGGGATGCCGCGATCGCGGGGGAAAAGCTCACCCCCCGACGCGGCTTGGAGAGCCGCCCGCCTTCCCCGAGAGGGAGGGCCGGCGCCCCGGCCAGGGGACGAG